AGCGCGGTGGGGCCTGTGGGAGAGGCCTGGTGGTGGGCGGGGCGGGGCGGGGCGGCCTCACCTGCAGGATCTTGCAGCGGTCCGACAGGCAGTCCATGTCGTCGCAAGGCTGGTACATGCCAAGTGTCACGCAGTTCAACAGGATCACCAGCATACTGACACATTCAAACCACGTGCACATTGAGTCAAGGACAAAACTGTGGGTACGGGGGACCGTGGCCATAGGGGGCAGAGTGCACCCTGGAATGTAATACCCCTCAATCCACCACAAACACAGACATACAACCTCTTTGGGTTCCTTCCTTGAATAGGTCAATGTCCAAGTTCTCAAAGACCTTGGAACCACCCTACCCACACACACACACAACAGACATGGCCACACATGCGAAACCCACCAGAGAACCCAAACCCCACCCCGCCACAACCGGCCCAGGACCCCTCCCCCAGCCCCTTGCCCCAGCCTGAGAGTTCCCTTTGTGCTCAGGAAGAGAGAGGTTCCCAGAGGCCGGCAGGCCACCTCTGCCTCGGACCACTCCCCTCAGACTATCACTGCCTCCCTTCTCTGACCACCTCTCCCCTCCCCTGACCCACGCGCCTCCAGGACTACCTGAGGCCTGGATCTGGAGCCTACAGAAGGCGGGGCCAGTGTGGCTGAGATTGTCTGGACAACCCCGGTCCTCTCTCCTCGCCTGCGGCTGAGTTAGAGCTCATCTCCACACTCCTGAATGTCCGTACCTGGGCCTTCCGCAGCCCCAGCGCCAAGGAGGGTAGGGCTCAGCCTCCCCAGGCCTGCCCAGGTAGAAAGTCTGCAGCCAAGGGGGTCTAGAGACCATCTCTTCACCCAATCTTGGGCAGGGCCCCTGGGATACCAGGTGCTTAGAGCCAGGATGAGTGAGCTCCCCCACCCGCCCCCCTCTCCACCAGGCTGCTGTCTCACTTACACCCTCCTCCTTCCCTTCCATCCTGGTGACTCCTGCTCAGTCTTAGAACAGCCGACTGAGGTCCAGGCCCACCACTCTTGATCTTCCTAGTCCTAGGACCAGGGGTTAGAGCTGCAAGGGGTCTCAAAAAAATCTGTGCTTCATTCAAAAGAAAGTGATCCAAGGTAAAGTGGACTCGAGTAGGTTCTCCATCTCTAAGAGGAGGGGTGCTGACAGAACTCACCATCCACTGGCTGCACAAGCCCGTTCCCTCCCCCCAGGAACTGAGCCACAGGAAACAGAAGGGCAGCTTCTGTGCTGTAAAAGCAGTAAACCAGGGGGCCTCCGGTCCCAGCACTCACTGGGTCTGAGGCCTCGGGCAAGCCCCATCCTATCTCTGAACCTGTGAAGGTTCCCCACTGGAGGACCAGGAGCCTCCTCACAGGCCCCACCCTGCCAGCTCTGGCCTCTCTGGTCCACCCTCCCTTCAGCAGCAGAGAGCTCAGCTCCCTCCCCTGATCAAAACCCTGGCACAGCTCTCCGTCTCTCTCAGCATAAACTTCGAAGCTCTCACTGTGGTCTGCAAGGCCCCACCTACCACCTCATTTCCTGCTACCTTCACCCTGGCTCTCAGGTAGATCAGGCACACTCTGCCCCTGGGCCTTTGCACCTGCTGTTCCCTCTACCTGGGAGACTCTTCCCAGGACCTTCAAGGACTGCTCTTTCTGACCCTTTAGCTTCATTGTCACCTTCTCTGAGAAGTCCCCACCCAATCTCTCCCTCCTCAGTGGTCACCCTCTCCCACCCCGACCACCACCCTCTCCCAGCTTTATGGCTTTCTGAGCACTTATGCCCTGAAGTTGTCTTGCTGACATGCCCACTGTCTTTATCCACAGCTAGAACCTATGTTCCAAGGGGACAGGGGTTTTGCATTCACAGCTCTGCCAGTGACAGGCATCTATTAGTAAACGTGTTTCATGAATAAGTAAATCTCTCTGGGCTCTGCCCACCCTCACATCCAGTGATTCTTGAGCACCTCCAAACGAAAACCTTCCCTCCTCAATTTAACAATTTAACAGCCATGCTCTAAGTTTGGGTGTAGCCACACTAGCCAGACCCTCAGATAGACCCCATCCAGGGGATGCTGAGCACCTCTTGCCTGAGGTAAGACTAACCTGGTTTCCCCAGCAACAGCCTCCCTCCCAGCCCCAGGCCCTGGCTCGCCTTGGGATGCTGCCTTCCCTCCCTTCTCCCCTCAGACCCTCCTCACCCAAGCCCTGTTCCTTCCTGCCTCTCCTCCTCCCCCCCACACCCCACCCCTGCTGCCAGTCTCCCACCACAGCCTGTAATTAATTTCAGTCGCTGCCAGGGCCCCCTTCTAGCCTGAGCATCGTTCCAGCAGCAGCTTCATCATTAATTAACTTTTTTGAAGTTCAAACGTTCTAATTACCAGTGAACGCCCCCCTATCCCCTTTGCCTTTTCCCCCTGCCTGTTGTGCTTTCTCACCTTCCAGCCTCCTCCTCTGCTTCCTCTGCCCTTCCTGCCAGTTTCAAGTTCAAAATGCACATAGCAGGGGTCTCCCAGGAGCCTGGCACCCCCGCTTCTTCCTCGGCAGGACCATTTTACAGATGAGGAAAACTGAGGCTCCCAGAAACTAGGGACCTCTCCTGGGTCACATAGCTGGGAAATACCAGAGCTAAGATTCACACCGGCTTGCTGGATTCCGAGGACAGCGCTTTCCTCTGTGGCACTTGGCCTGTCCCTGCCTGTGACTTCACCCTCCCTCCCCTGCGGCTTCAGCATCTCAGTTGGACCCTACATGGCCTCTCCTCTAGCCGCCAGCTCTGGTCTCTGCCCTTCCGATCTGCCCCACACCATAACCAGGCACACTGTGTGCTCAACACTACTGGATCGCTTTGCAAGTGTTCTCTCCTTTAATCCTCACCGTGCTATTATAAGCCCCATTTACAAATGAGGGAATTGAGACACAAACGGGAACATGATTTGCCCAAGGTCACCAGCTGGAAAAAGGCAGAGCTGGCATACAAACCCAGAGCCTGCCTTTCTTGTCCCCAAGCTGTTTTGTCACTGCCAGGTTAATCTGCCAGAAGTTCAACTCTGAGTGTGCCTCTCCCCTGTTCAAAAACCTCCATGGCTCCCACCACCCTCCTTAACCTGACCCCCGAGGCCTCCTGGACACTGAGCTCACTGAATTCCTCCAGCCTCATCTCCCACTGGCCTTGGCATGCGTTGAACTTCTTGCTGTCCCCAAGCATACTCTACATGCACTTTCTCTTCCCTCTACTGTCTCTGCCAGGCACACTCCTACCATCCTTCACAGCCCCGTTTATTTATCACCTCTTCTTAAAGCTTCCCTTGAAATGCCTTTCCCCACTCACAAGGTGGTGGTTCAGCCTCCTCTCCAGAAATGCTCCCTGTCCACCTGGTCTAGCTGGTTTCATGGCAATGAACTTGGCAGTAACCACAACTACTGCGTGCCAGGGCCCTGGGGACATGGCCCTAGCTGTCATCTTAGCCCGTTGGAGACAAATAAAGAAACAAGCCTGGAGAGCTGGAGCGACTTGTCCGAGGTCTCACAGGCAGTGAGCAGCCCAAACAGTCTGACTCGTAGGTGCCCCAAGCTGCTGTGCGTTCCTGCCTCTTGTTCATCTGGCTTGCCCATGGCACTGGGTCCCTCAAGGGGGCAGATGGAGCGGCTCTCACCTCTAGATTGCTCAGCTGCAGACATTCAGAGATGGACAGTCTCAGCCCTGCCCCGAGGCACTCAGGGAAATCCCAGATGGCAGAGCCTGGGCCCTTTCCAAGAGCCTGTGAGGCTTAGAAGTCAGGCCAGAGCTGGCATCACTGCCCGCAGTTCCTGACATGCTCCCCACTGGCTGGGGGATCAAAGGCACCAGCCCTCCTTGAAGTTGAACCAGACCATGTAGCACAGGGAAGACTGTCAGAGGGAGTCAAGGTCTCCAGGCCGAGCGCTCCATGGCCTGGCCCAACGCCCAATGTTTTCCACTAGTCACAAGCATTGAGGAACTCTGAGAGCACGGTCGGGCAAGCTCCGGGGTTCTGGGACAATCTGAGGGAGGACGGAGGCCCCAAGAGGGTGGTATGGGATTTCTGGGAAATAGGGCAGGCAGAGGCTTGAGTGCCAGCTCCATGAGCGCAGGGCATCTTCAATAGCAAGCTCAAAGCCCTAGACCTGGTATCTGAGGCCATGCAGGTGGGACCCTGCCACCTTGCCTACTTCATCGCCCAGGTCCTCACTTCTGTCGAGGTGACCTTTGTCACAGAACAACCCGACCCAGGCCCTCTGAGAGTATCTGATCCAATGACCCATTCCACAGATGGAAACCAGAGGATAGGGAGCCATCCAAGAGACACAGCAAGCCCAAGCGAAGGGACCTTCAGACATCAGACTCCGAACCCACGGGGGTCCCTAAGCCACGGTGGATTTCAAAACCACTGAAGCCCCATGTTTCCCCAAATGCCCAGGCTCTGTGTGTACCACCTGCTCAGCACCACCACATTCAGTCATTTGAAGCTGATTAGACCCCTGACGGGCAGCATAGGTACCTTTGACGAACACAGACGGGGAGACACACCAATGGCGATGCAGTCGATAGTTTCCTCGGCAGGCAAAGCCTTCCCAAACACCAACCTGGCTTTGGGGGAGAAAAACAGCCAAAGCATCCTTGGGGGCTGCAGAGTCCCCACCCCAATCCCAC